CTTTTAATGATGTTACTGAAACAGAATATTTTATCAAGTAATTATGCAATATTTTTATTATTAATTAATTATATGCAGAAATATATCTTTCCGCGATAAGAGTTGATGATGATGAATAATGATTCAAACATTTTCAAATTAATCAGCTAAACTCCAAGATATTTCACATCAGATTAAGTAACCGATCTTATACCTAGGAGGTAATCATAGGTAAGTTTTACTAACACTTCTTGTGTAACTCTTAGGAATACCCCATCTTTTATTTAAAACACTATTAAGAACGTGACCATTGTAGTGTATAGATATTGCTCAAACATTACGAAAGCATCCTTCCGTTCACAACATCTGAGAACAGATATATTTCAGAGCAAGAAAAATCATTCTTTCAGCTTAAAAGGTTTTTATGAGGATGAATAATGTCGATAAGCTCATCTATCATTGCCTTGCCATCATCTGTCACTTAAGTCGTTTCAACGCAGACTCCTTCTTCCAGATATATTTCCTTTTCTTGGTTTCCATTAACCACTTAGTGATGAAATAGGCCTCAAGGATTTCTAAAGATTGGTAAAAGTTTTATAATTTCTAAAAAAAGAATATTTTTTTTTAACGAGTGAAAATCTTCATCCTTAAGACAAAATTTTTTTAATTCTTGCATAAATATATAGTATGTTTCAGGATTAAGGGGGCTACTGTAAACGTGAACTATGGACCTCAAAACAAGAAAAAAAATCCTCTGAAGGTTGTCCGCAAACGCTTTGTTTAGAATATATTCACACCTTCTTATTTATGTCGTTATGAATTATTTACGTTATTTGAAATAAACAAAATCTAATTATTTGTTATAACTACATTATTAATTAAATGAAAACATTAACATTTATATTAAATAGGTTCGCATTTTTTGCCGCCTTGAGTCAGTGTGGGCACATTTATGGAATTTCTTAATAATGATTACACAAAAGAGTAACATGGAACCCACATACCAGACTTAAAAGACAAGAGCTTAACCGACGACTTGGCCAGACTACTTAACAGAAAATCTAACCTCTCGATTGAGAACAAACTATTAATATACAAGACCATACTGAAACCCATCTGGACCTACGGACTTGAACTGTGGGGAACAACTAAATTTTCGAACATTAAACGCATCCAATCCTTCCAGTCTAAAGTCCTCCGTATAATAGTCAATGCTCCTCATTATGTTACGAACAAAACCTTACATCATGACCTTAACATCCCTTACGTCATTTACGTTATTCCATCCCAATTTTCAAATTTTCATCAGAACCTAATGCATCATCCTAATCGCTTAGCACAATCCTTATCCAGTTCAACCTTCGAGGAGGATTGTAGGGATGACTGCCTACAATCCTCCTCGAAGGTTGAAGCGGCAGTGGTCTCGAGATCTTTCGTACAGACGTCATTGGAGTCCTGGTGATGGACAGCTTCTCCACTCAAGTCATGAGCGTATGTGGCTTTAGTGCCCTCTCTTACTCTCCACTGGATTTCCATCCCAATGATGCAGCTGAGAGAGAAGCGCTGGAATCCCTTGGAGTCTTGCCTTATCCTCCACACGTGGGGGAAAAGGCCCGACTCGGAGCTCCCTCGGCTGACTGTAAATATTGTAAATAAGTATGAATGCGTTTTTATTTATTTATTTATTTATTTAATGTTGTATCATGATCGATTTATTCTGTTACTCCAAGTTTTATTTTATTTTGTTATAATCTTGTTTTTCCTTTGTTGTATATATTTCATTCATCCTAAATACTCAATGCCCTTAATTGAGACAAAATGTATTTTTTCTAAATAAAAAAAATAATGATTACTATGATTTAGTTAAACATATTACACTACAACTGAGAAATGACATGTGACTTCAATTAGACGGTTCTCTTGTATATTACGGCAGAGTTCTACGACAATGGCTAGATGGTAATTTTTCCAATCAATGGATTGGCCATGCAGGGCCAGTGGCTTGGCCTGCACGCTCTCCAGACATGGCACCACTGGATTATGTCGTTTCGGGTGGCATTAAACAAAAAATCTAAGCATGTCCAGTCAATGACCTTAATTCCTTACGAAGAAGGATAAATGAATCATGTAAAAAAATAACATGTATCCAGTGCCGTTCTGCCACTGCTGCTATTGAATAAGGTTGCAGAGTCTATCTTAATGTTCAAGGACTTTACTTTGAGCAACATTTAATATGAATTTAATGTTTACGTTTAATTGATAAAGTAGTTGGAACAAATAAATAAGTTTTATTTACTTAATCTTAAGGTGTGAATATACCTTCATAGGATTTTGTTTTCTTATTTTGAGGTCCTTAATTCATATTTTCAGTTTAGCCACTTAATCCTGAAACACCCCGTATATAGAACTTTCTTCTGTTCCGCAAGAAACGAAAAAAGTTGTAAAAGTTAAATTCGAAAAATAAGATTTGTAGGGCAGATAGGTAAAAAAGAAGAAATGAGAAAACACAAATACATTGAAAATGAATCAATCGCCATAATACACAACATATATAAAGCCTTTAATCATATAAAATATCATAATGGAAATACACTATAAAAAATTTGTAAATGGAAATAAAAATAAACAAATATAAATGAAATCGTAGATTTTTAGATAAGCTGTTTATTTACTCAATTTTAAATTTCTTGATTTTCTTGAGTAAATCAATAGCATAAAAAGTTTTTTTCTGGTCGAATCTGCTATACATGGCAAATAAATAATTATATATGGAATAGCTGTTTTGGGGAAGTTAGGGGAAGGAAGGAATCATGATAATATAAATAGACCTGTTGAAGTATCCGGAATCGAAGAGTAGTACTTCGTCTTGCTGTTGAAATTTTATGTAGAAATTTCATGTCCGCTGAATGTAGAATTGTTATAATTTATTAAATATCCATCCTGCGGATATAAGCAAAACGTCTGTTAAGGGAACAAAGAAAAGTTCCAATTTAATTTAAATTAAATTAAATGAAACCTTAATCAACACAGCTGTGATCTCGACCATACTCACGATATATCTCAGATGTGAGGCTTTACTGAAGCGTAGACGCTCACGGAGATTTAAAAACCTGCGAGCCTGTCCAGTTAGCAAATAAAGTATGCTACTGAATTTCTAAACACGGAGTAAAAAAACTACAGTGGCCGGTAAAGGGCCAAGGAAGGAAGTGAAAAGATGAAAAAGAAGACTGGCCAATAGAAGAAAAGAAAAAATCGCAATTATCCCAACCCACCTATATTTAAACCGTATATAAACTCCAAAATTATCTAAAATAAAGCAATCAATTTTATATCACCAATTATTTAGTCCACTAATTTCTTTAATTTTACAGTCCTAGCAATAAATTCTATTACTGGCTATTAAAGCACAATTATTATTTCAATATCCGCCCTGACAGCGGTGGAAGAGAATAGCATAGTAAAATAAACATTTGGTCCTCCGGGCCGGATATTATTAAAATCTTTAATGATTAAATCATTCAATAGTTCGAATCATAAAGTAAATCGAAATTTCATTATTTTAAATAATAAATTAAACATTATTAAACGCTTCTAGTTATTATATCCTTCAGACGTAATAAAAACATTTTTTGTGTTAACAGTTTCAAAATACAACCAATTGTTATATCTAACTAAATTAACCTAAATCAATTTTAGTTTAAATTATATTTAATGCAATTCAGGTTATTTGTATTATATTGGCACTCGTGTTCATAATATTTGTTTTCATTTTGGTATGGCTAAAGTTTTGTAAATTACCTTCTTATATTACTTATCATATCAAATTCAGTAATTAATTAATTTCTATTCATTGCCCTATTTTTTCCCTGAAATTTGACTTTAGGTTATTGATGCATGATGAATCCATATCAGTTATGAATTATCATTTTTGTATTTTTTTACAAGTTTTAGTTCCAAGATTGATCTAAATTATCATTAGACCTCTTTAAAACAACCATAGCCTTAATTGAGAAACATTTATTTACCAGGTATTTAATAAATAAAGCAATCAATTTTATATCACTACTTATTTAGTCCACTAACTTCCTTAATTTTACAGTCCTAGCAATTAGTTCTATTACCAGCTATTAAAGCACAATTATTATGTCAATATCCCTGACAACCGTGGAAGGGAATGGCATAATAAATTTAAAAACGCCATATAAAGCGTGTCGGTAACTTTTTTAATTAATAGGGTTCATTTGTTTGTCCATTCATGAAGAATGATTCACGGGAAATCTGGGTATGGTTAAGAAATTTTTAGTAACCATTCTTATCTCATCAGCTCACGTATTGAAAATTGTGCTTGGATCCAATGGGAATATAGCAGTATAAACAGAGTAGAGCTTGGGATCTAGCACGCCCGAATAACATCGGTATAATGGGGAATAAGAAATGAATAGGCAGAATTACAATTTTCTTGCCATATCCTGTTAGCGAGGAGCGAAGGAAAAAGTATGATGCACGATATCTAAACAATTTCCCGGTTTAGAATAAATAAACTGAGTTAAGGTACGTGACCTTAGCTCAATGATCCTAAGAAAAGAACTGACGAATCGTTTTCAGGAACTGCTCGATTATCAACAGTCGTTTCAAAAATATTATTATGAATTATGGTTCATAATAGATAAACAAGAAGATGAATACATGCATTAAGGTATGACGTGAGTGTGAACGAACTAGAAAGAGAATGGCATACAAACACTAAATTCCTAAACGAACTCAACATTTGAACAATGTTAATTTAGAATGTGATCACAGATATATTACGTCCGAAAACTGTAAACAATACCAAATAAATTATAAAAGTAACGCTTAAGTAAGACGTAGAATATGTTTTAATTTTCAAATGATATAAAAACCAATTTTTAAATAGAAACTATAGAAATTGAATATCCTTAAACTTTAAGTGCATGAATAATCCAAAGTAAATCAAGAGATCAAGTTCTAAAATATAAAACTCTTTTTATTTATTGTTTCAGTTTTTGGAGGTTGTTCAAAGGTGGACAAGAATCGACAACTGGACCAGGAGTTGTATTATGCGTTCGGGGAAGCTGATGTGAAAGCTATGAAGTTGAGACGCTTAAGCCATGCAGAACATCCAGGGTACCCAGGATCAATGAATAAAATATTAACGACAAACTCAAACCCTAGAGCAAAGAGATGAGGGGGACCAAAGCTGAAATGGTCAGATGGTATGGCAGGATATTGGGAATACAGTAGTTAAAGTTAAAATAATTATTGCAGCAGAGATAGGTAAATAAATAATAAAAATAAAACATAAATACAGTGAAAAAAAAGTAGCATAATACACATCAAATCTATAAACATATCAGATTGAGTAGCAATACCAAAATAGAAATCTATGTAAATAAAATAAAGATTTTATTGAATTTTACATTGAATAGAATCAATCCGTTTTATGATATCTTTCCGTTTCATACATTACAGGCACCAAATCCACTTTTAAAAGATTTTTTGTATGTCTGGATGTCTGCATTGTCCATCGAAATTTCGTCAGAGGTAAGCTCAGCAACACCTAATGGTAGACTTTTGAGATTTTGACCTTATATTTAGGTTTGCTTGACTTAACAGATAGGATTTAAATGAAAACAAAATATTGAAAAGAAGCAAAGTTATGAATTCTTGAGTAATTTGTCTAGAGATCCCGGCTAGGCAGTTACTTACTTCCCACCCCAACCTACTCTAACGCGAGCGACATTTAAATGTTGCACTACTCAATTGATGGAAAAGGTATCACAGCTCAACGGAAAAATCCGGAATACCAAACATATGTAAGGCCTTATCGCATAAAACGGGTAAACACTCATTTTTAAACTTTATCATTCGATTCAACTTCCTGAGCCTAACAAATGTTGTCGTATACATTTTTAGAACTAACCAAACGGATTAGCCGGAAATCAGGAAAAGAAACTCCCAAAAATTTCATCCCTCCAGCCACAAAACTCAGATCAAGTTCTAATTTTACTCGGATGTAGGTGACTCAATGTCCAATCTTATTTTGCTAGCGATAAACTCAGCAGAGTTTAAAGAAGTAGAGAGACTACAGCCCTTTTTAATTAATTGATCGACTCCACAATCTCCTCACTTCATCATAAATGAAAATTAAACACTTCACAAATTTTAATGGATCGGTGCTGGTCGGTTTAGTTGTGTGATTCCTAAACAAATAGCCGAATAACAAAGTTTTTTTTATTACTATTGCGAAGCATTGACTTCCATTAGCCCCGCCATAAAAATTTCAAAACAACCTTCCTCCCCCCCAACTCAATTTTATGAAATTGAATTTGGACCCTCCCAAATTTTAACTATACAAACGTTAATGAAGGGTACATCTGCTAGTAGATAATAAAACCATTTGTAAAAAAAATAATAAAGATGAACAAAAGTATATGAAACTGTCGATTTATAGATAAGCTTTTTATTTACTTAATTTGAATTTTCTTGATTTCTTGAAGTAAATATTTAATTCAAAACAGAAAAATGTTTCTATGATGGAAACTTCCATTAGTTTAGATAGAGAGTTAGAAATTGCATGGCATCCTTTGTGCCGTGAAGCAGTTGAAGGAAGCCAATATCTGTAACCGGATTGTAGACTTTTAAATAATCCAACATTTCTTTTCATATTTTAAAGTTTGTGGTCAAAATTAATTTATTAGCTTTAGTTGGCTTAAATAACATTATTACTAAACGGTGTACATTAAAATGTATAGTTTTATTTTGTGTAAAAAAAAGAAATAGGTTTGCTATCGTTTAAAACCATATTATTATTATTAACCAGACTTTCGATAGTGGAAATGTTTTGTAGGTGTATTTAGTGCACATAAACAAATATAAACTCACAGATATATTTATTTAGGAAATTTCTTCAATCGACCTTGAGTATTATATTTTAACATAATTTATTTTTAATTTTATTATTTTTATTATTATTTATATGATATTTACAACTGTATAAAAAAAAAATGCACCTAGTAAATTTGTACATGGATATAATGACATGAAACACATGTAGAGAAATTGCCCATTGGTAGCACTCTAAAATTTAATTTAATTTAAAATTTAATTGATTAATAAAGAAAAAAATAAAATAAAACTAATTTAATTAAAGTTACTTTAATATCTGTGCTAGTGGACGTTGCTGAGGCTGTCGGTGTGTCTCTTGCCTGAGGTATCGAGGCTCTATTTTAATAAATTGAAGAGGATCTTGTTATATTGTTTATTTTCATATATTATTTATTGTTATATTATTAATATTGTTAGTTTTAAAAAACCGGTATTAAAACATCGAATAAACGACAGGATCTTTGAACATTTCGTAGTTTATCGAATAATAAATAAGTGACCTAATTCCAAATTTAAATAACTGCATTAATATGTTTATAAAGTTTCCTATATAAATAGTCAACTATAAATAAATAAGAGGGTAAAGGTTATTTCCCATTGAGATAGACTCAATGTAGTCAGCTATTGTCGAGCTACTGAATGAATAGAGCTTGGGAACCTGCCTCCTCTGGCATTTACAGAATCGTGTAGCCATTCAGTAGTGAAGGTGTCTCTGAATCCTACCTCTAGAATGTTAACATGTAAACCACCTTAATTAAGTTTCAATTCAATTTTTTTTTCTAAGAACAATTGTATATTTTTTTTCTTTTCCCATTACAGCTTAAAAGTTTGTACAGCATACCTTAATGTAGCAAATCCCAAAAGAGGCACAAAGGAACCTTATCGCCAAAAACATTTTTTCATTGTTAATATTTTTTTTTATTTCAATGAAATTTCCAACTGTATTAGATGAAACATACAACAAGTAAATGTGACATTGGTAACATGATATGTTAACAAAATGAAGAGAAACTACTCATCGGTAGGACTAAAATTAGAGTTCTATATTAGAAGGTCCCGAGTCCATCTTCTTTTCAGAACCCTCGGAGTGTTATCAGGAATAGAAGAGGAAGCAAGATTGGAAATAAGAGGGTTCGGATGGTTCAGAAGTTTATTATGAAAAGATAGATATCTGAATTGGGCTAAATAGGAAAGATATGGTGCTTTAAGGTCGTTATGGATGATTTTATTTGTGACAAAGTAAGGTGGATTAAGGATTTTGGATTGTAAGGATTGAATACGAGAGGAATTCGATGGTTTAGTAGAGCCCAAAAGCTCGATTCCGTAAGTCTAAATAGGCCCTAATTATATATATATATATATATATATATATATATATATATATAAGTCTTTTGTTAGTAACTGGAACTTTAGAGCGTTTGTATTGTAAGTGCTGGAGTAGTCGAAAACGTCGAACGGTTTCTTGTCGTTTCAGTCTGGTATGAGGATTCAAAGTGAGTCGTTTGTCCAGGTGGAGTCCTAGGTATCGGTTTTGTTCAACAGGGGTAAGTTGGGTTTTGTTAAAGGATACAGAGGAGAAAGTTATAGGTTTGTGATGAAGGGTAAAAGTAATTTGATGAGATTTATTGAAGTTTATTTTAATCCTACAGTTTTCCTAAAAGCTAATTTAAAAACTCACATTCTTCGTCCCCCTTAATTTTTTCATCCCCCTAAATTAACGTGCAATCAGCAATCAGTGGTTATTTATTCATCTATTTTTACTTTGTAATTTCGTATGGTTTACAAACCACATTAGTATTTTTAGATAGGGTTAAGTGGTTTTAACATTACAGAGAGGGCTATAGAGGGGGTAACCAACTTAATATGTACAGTTATAAAAAGGATACTGTGTCAGTCGTCGGTGTAATGCAGAAAATCGAAAATAAACTATGGATTGAGAATAACATTTAATTACGTGTTTGTTAATCTAAATAATATTTATTTACAAAAATTCAGTAAATGCATGAAAATAACACCAACTTTATAACATGCGTAAAAATTCACACTTAGTACTCAATGTTTTGTTTTGACGGAAATTTATTAATTTACTTGTGTTTTATTTTTCTCACTCACTTTTTGCTGTAGATCAACGCACAAAGGAGAATTCGCACCGAACCTGTCCAAATGTCCAAAATATAATAACATTCACTCACACGCCCTTTATTACAACCGATTAAGTGGTACTTGCATTTACAAGTCTTAAGGACAGAGAAAAAAAAAATGGTATTTATTATGTTCTCCCTCGTACATCCCAATCATCATCCCTTTACACTAACAGGAACTCATTGTTTATAAATTTGCTTTTATTTTATTTTTACAAGATAAATTTATTTGTTATGTAAATTAAATCATTCTCTTTATTTAGAAATTTTGTTTAAATGACTTACAGAGATAGCAGATAAAAGTACAAACCACAATGATCTTTTTCGAAGTTATAGAGAAATATTTCCTAATACGCTAAAAATAAAAAAATATAATATAATAAATAAAAAATATAATAATACATGAATATAAGAAATACATTAGTAACCTCTCTTTTGCTATGTTCCTGGCCTCGCGTTTCTACGGCGAGTAGGGGGTTCCAGAAACCGCATTTATTTGTATTTAATACTTATATTGGTATTTATATCGGTCCCAGAAGGTAACCGATCTACCGAAAAATATATTAATGATGTATTTAAATGTTTAAATACTACAGACCCCCTACTGTAGTATCCTAGATTGAACCATATAATTTTTATTGTATTTCTTTTCTAAAGGTATCATGTTTTTAAATTTACTATTTGTTCTATATCTAATTGGTGGCATGCAAGGTAGAATGTAAAATCATCAAGATGGTTTACTAACTATTATATTTACAAATTTAAATACCCAAAACATATATACAATGATAATGAGCAAACCTATATACATAATAATAGTTGAGAATCATGCTAGAGGAGAATGCTTGATTAGAGTTACATGTGTTCTATTGATTTTATTAATTAATGATTTGTGGTTGCCAACACAAATTTACATTAGTATAACTAAATGCTTGTTACCACTTAGCTGGTCATTCATAGTGAGAGGGGGGGGGGGGGGGGTTGCAGGTGTTTCTAGCCGTCATGTCTGGATTCTCTGTCTCTGCTCTCCTTCAGCGTCTAGTACGTCCATCTGCTCTCTCCGGCTGTCTTCCTCTTCCTCCCTCGACTCCCCCGCTTGAAGTCTCCTCAGCTGAGTCCCAAAAAGAAGTCCCTTAGTCCTAGTCCTCTATTTCCCACC